CCAACCAGATTCTTACTAGTAGGCAATGGAACTAACTCCCAAGTATTAGTTTTTTGTAAAGCAGACAACCCATCTTCCATAGCTCGAATCCAAAGAAGATCCTAACAGGCCTCTTTGTAAGACTCTGGTTTTGAAAAAGAATGAATAGCAGACAGAAAAGTACGATAGAAAGCAGAAAAACATGTATTAGACCAACCCAACCTGTTTAGAGGATGACGCTCTCGAGTAGGATATCAATGCGTACCAGGATTAAAGTCTTCAGAAGCAGAAGAGGCAGCAACCGGGGTAGAGACAATTGGTGGAGGGGGAGTCTGGCGACGAGAATAAACTAACAACGGAGGAGGAGAAGAAGCCGAAGGAGGAGAAGTAGCCAAAGGAGAAGATGGAACAAGTTTAGGAGGAACAGTGGAGATGTATTCATCAGACGGGACCTCAGAAGGATATGGGTCAAGGGGAACAAAATCTACTTTTGAAACTGGAGCAGTGAGAGAGGGAAGTTGAAAGTAAGACAGACATTCTAAGAAGTAAAGGCGGCGGGAAACAGGATTGTAGCAACGATAGCCCTTTTGAGTAAGACTGTAACCCAAAAAGACACAGAGGACAGAACGGGCACTAAGTTCTGTCCTATCTTTTTGGGAAAGAAGGACGAAGCATGCAGGCCCAAAAACACGAAGGAGAGAGTAATTGGAAAGTTGGGAAAACAGAGCCTCATAAGGAGAAGGACCAGAGAATAAGGGGCTAGGCATTCGATTGAGAAGAAAAACAGCTGTAAGAACTGCTTCCCCCCAAAAGGAAGCTGGAACAGAGGCAGAAAAGAGAGATCGAGCTATCTCGAGAAGATGACGGTATTTACGCTCAGCATGACCATTTTGGGCGGGTGTATCAGTGTAGGAAGTTTGGTGAATGGTATCCAAATTGGCCAAATACTCACAAAACTCGGTTTTAAAATACTCTCCACCTAAGTCAGACCGTAATATTTTAATGGTAGCCCTAAACTGTGTAGTGATCATAGACTGAAATGTACGATATATTTGGTAGAAGTCAGATTTATGAGTCATAAGATAAACCCAAGTATAGTGGGTGCAATCATCAACAAAAGATACATAATAGGCAGAACCCCCTTTAGTGAGAACAGGAGAAAGTCCTTAGACATCAGTATGTATAAGAGAAAATGGAGAAACATAAATAGACATACTTTTATTGAAAGGTAAAGCTGACATTTTGGCAAGTTTACACCCTCGACATTCATCAATTTAACTAGGAGAAACTTTACCCAACAATCCGGACTGAGCTAAAGATCGTAAATGGTCAATAGACAAATGACCTAGGCGAGAATGCCATAACCAAAATTGACTCGATTGAGAATCTAACTGAAATGAGGAAAGTGCAACTGGAGAGTTCGATAAAGGGAGATGCAAACTTTCTATCACATAGAGGTTTCCAACTCTACGGCCGGTCCCAATTTGCTTCTTGGACACCTGATCCTGCACACAACAGACAGAAGAAAAAAAGATAACATCAAAGCCAGAAGCATCAAGTTGACTGATAGATAATACACTGACAGATATCTGAGGGACATAAAGAACAGAGGGAATAGTAACAATAGACATAGCAGAGGGCAAGACAGATCTAATAGACAAAACTGACATACCAGACCCATTAGCAGTATTAATAGTAATAGGAATGGGTGGGAAAATATAGTTTTGAAGTAAGGAAATGTGAGGATTCATATGATGAGAGATACTGGAATTGAAAAGCCAGACGGAAGCAAGAATACTTGAAGAAGACCCAAGCAAACCTGAATGAAGAGAAGTAAGAGTGGAGGGAGATGGGAATGACTGAGAGGTGGATAGGATATGCTGAAGTTAAGGAAGTTGAGCACTCAAGGAAGCCAAGTCAGGATCTGAAGTTAGAGCAGATGCAGTATAAGCAGTAGGAGGCCGAAAAGTACTTGGAGCAGGATTACGGAGCTGTGTCAGAAGAGGCTGGGACAGAGCAGGCTGACGTCCCTTTTTGGGACAGTTGTATTTCCAATGACCCCTTTGGTAGCAGAAAGCACACTTATCTGGACCTAATGGCCCTTTTTTGGGTTTTGCAGTGGCCTGAAGCTGATGCGTAGAAGGGGTTAATAACAAAGGAGGCTTAGCAGGAGCCAAGAAGACAGAGGGAGGCAGAATTTGACTGGCCGTGTTAAGACGGGTTTCCTCAGAGAGGAGCTCACGAACAATAGCATCCACAGAGGGCAGAGAAGACCGATGAAGGATGCCACCATGGATAGTCTCATACTGAGGGGAAAGAGCCATTAAGAACTGCACTAAACGACTCTGCTCCTGAAACTCAACATAAGTGTCTAGTACCTTGAGGCTAGGTGGTTCCATTAGAGTCAATTGATTCCAGAGACCTGTCATCTCAATATAGAAATCCTAAATAGTCTGATCCTGATGACAAGCACTCTGAATAGCTGTTTCCAACTCATACCGCTTGGCAAAGTTAGACTGCTGATAAACACCCACTAAATAATCCCACACCTCCTTGGCAGTATTGTATTTAGAAAACATCATTCTAATATGATCATCCACAGAATTATGAAATCTGGTCAAAATTTGGGCATTATCACAATCCCAAGTATTACACGAAGTCAGATATCCTTCCGCCTTTGAGTCCAATGGCCGAGGAGCAGAACCAGAAACATAACCTCATTTTTTCTGACCAAGAAGAAAATTGTTCATAACACCGGCCCAATAGGCATAATTGTCATAAGTGAGTTTGCATTTAATAGCTTGAATTTTAGTGTCCAATATAATAAAGCAAAGTTATAGAATTGATGGGTCAAAGTATAATAAACGAAAAACTGAATATGTCAATAATTCAGGTAATAGACGGAGGCAAGAGAACCAAAACAGAGGAGTGAGAGTACCTGAAGCCAACACAATTGCAAGAGAGAGAACTTCGCGAATCGGAATGAGAGAGAGAAGACGACGAGTCAAACAGATGAGTCGACCAGTTGAGTCGGCTAAATGAGTCGAATAGTTGCCACGAATTAGATGAATCAGACTAACCAGACGATCGATGAAGCAAGGAGCTTCGTCCAACAACCAGGTTTGAGAGAAAGAGAGAGATCGCGAACCAAACTGAGCCAAGGAGAAGATTCACGACTGACGATTGATGAAGCGAAGAGCTTTGATCAACAACCAGGTCTGAGAGAAAGAGAGAGATCGACGACACTAGGGTTTCTCAACCTGCTTTGATACCCCATGTAAGTTTCTGAAGAATATTGTATATTCAACTTGTATTTCAACTTGTATTTCAATTACATCAAGACCTTAGTTTATATAACCCTAACGCCTAAACTAAAAGGGAAATATAGAACCATGCCTAATATATACACAATCATGCCTAATATATACACAAACATGCCTAATATATACAATTATATTCTCACAGTTACACCCACCACCCCCTCCATCCGCCCTCCTTCACCATCTCAATTTTTCTTCTTGTTGGTCCAAACATTGTATCGCTTCTTTTTCTTTGGGTCTGATAATCATCACAAGTCCTGTTTTGTTTGCAAGTTCTAATAGAGTATTATGATACTATATAGTATTAATGATTAACTGGTTTTGTTGAATATTATGGGGATTAAGGGATGATAAGCATATATATACTCTAGTTATATGTACAGAATATATACTTTGTATGTATGTATATATATATATATATATTGTTTAAATTAAAAAATTAGAGTACAAAATTTCAAGAATTTAGTTTAATTTATGTTTTTTTTTACACTGATTTAAATCAGAAAGTATTTTTAATATATATTTTTTACATTGGTTTAAATCAGAAAGAACATTAAATCTTTGAAAAGAAGAATAAGACTGAGTAAAATATTCTTTTACAACTAACATTGACAGTGTTAGTGTAAGCATCTTAATCCAAAAGCACATGAGGGTGTTTTGCATATATTGTCAAGAGGTAAAGTGCTCCAAAACTGCAAGGGCTAAAATAAATTTTGTCCTGTTTTTAATTATAGTTTAGCTAGGAGTTTTATCAATATTTAGTTTCTTATTTTATCAGGGTTCCAAATAATTGTTTTCTCAGTGTTCTACATCACCCTGCCCACATAAATACTGAAACTATAGGTTTGGATCTTAAAGGTGGACGATGAACATTAAACAAATATCTAAACACCTCAAGAAATTTTTTAAATTAATTGTATTTGTGGTTATGAAAGAAAACCAAGAGAACTGCTTTTGACCTAGAAGGATCTGAAATTTCTACAAGAAGATAATGCAGATTTGATGGTTTTGCCACGTTGCACATCTAGGGCATACCCGGTCAGTAGGTTTGTTATTTTGGATAAGTCCCATTACACAAAAGCCAATATACCTTCCTCTATTGTTCTGCAACTTTGGGTTTCCACTGTGTATTCAGCTGTGTAATTGTATAATAATAATACCACTGCGAATTCAACTAATTCCCCATTGATTGAATGATATGAACTGCAAGTAATTTGAGCTCAAATTAATACCATAAAGCTTTGAAATTATGAAAATTGAATAAAACCAAATGAAGACAGCCTGCTGAATTATACTTTACTCTCTTTACCATTATGCTTAAATAATAATATAAAAACACTTGCTCAATACACACATGTATGAAAAAGAATTTCTTGCCCCCCTACTAAGAGAATGTTATGGACTGAGGAAATTAGCCATAAGTTATTTGAACAAATTGTTAAAATACCTTGTATGTGCTCACATCTTTCATGCCTCAAAATTTGTCATGCAGTTTTTTATTATTCAAAGTTATATTAATATATTTTTTCTTTTCTTTTCTTTTTTCAATTCATCGATATTCATTTACTTCTTGGTTTGAACTTGTTCATCATGCTAATGGCTTGCTAATTTTCCCAACTATCTTGCATCTCCGTTTGTGTGCTATGAACTCTAGATCTTTCTTATGATTTGATTACTGTACTAATTTTTAATCATTTGCAGGCAAAAGAAGATGAGGACAAGCCAGGGCTTCAGGCTATGTTGCAAAAAGTTTTGCAACTATATGCTTCCAGAGTCCTCTCTAAACGCAGCTATGCAAAAAAAGGTGTGTTCATTACATTGAGTTTACATATATAATCAAGCTTTTGCCAAATAAAATAGCCTCGTTAGATTTAACTCATTCTTGATTCAGTCAATAGAGTAGATCATCATCCAATGATATGTGAATGCAGTTTAACACTAGGTTGTGGTCATTCTAGTTGATACACTTCGTAAGCCACATGACTGACATCACACCTGGCCTGTAGTGAGTATGAATATGAAGTCTGGTTGCTTCACACCTTTGGATGCTTGTTGTTGCGACTTGTGGTTTGGTTTGGGTTCAGCCAGGTACGGTGTTGGAGGTGTTGCAGAGTTGGGCTGGGGGTAGGGTAGGGAGGAGATACCGGAAGGCGTCGTTGCTTGCTGGTCATTGTTTGATATGGCTGATTTGGTTGGAGCATAATAGGCGTACCTTTCAGGGTGTGTCTTTATCGGTTCTGTGGTTGGAGCGATGGTTGCTTATTGTTCTTCATCATCTTTTTGTATTCTTTGCATCAGCTTGATGCATTTCTAATAAAGTTTGTTTATTTATCAAAAACAAAAAAAAAGTTCACTGGCTGGAAAAAAGGTAGGACACCATAATTCCTTAAAGCAGGGGAGCCAATGCAAGAAAAGGTAAATTACAGAGGACATAAAGCACTGTTCATTTCAATGATGGATACCGCCTCATCATTCATTCAAAGGGTCTATTTAAAGAACTGCAAGCATCAAGAAGGCCACCACGCACTCAATTTCAGAACTCTTTCATCTCGTTTCATCTTCATATCCATTTCAGTCAGCTTATGGCTTGCAGTATCTGTTCCTTTCCATCCTGTAATTTTTCTCTTTTCATTAATACTGTAAGCATCGTTCCATCCACCATTGTTTAATTTGTTCTCAATCTCTGCTCTCTGATTCATGCACTCCATTAAATTGCAAGTAGGTTTGAAGTCCTTTAGATTGTTTCATTCTACTCTCTGTTTCTTTAGTTTAAAATTTAAATTTCAATCTCGGCATACCAGAAGTCCTTGTGTCCAGGCGTCAAGAGCCCATAAGAGAAAGCCTCCCCTTGCTTCTGTGCAACAACCTGAGCAATTAGTATGGGTTCTGACCCAATCAATCAATAACAAATTTAAGGGAATTGGTATTTTGACTGACTTTTGAGCCTGGGTATAGCTTATCTCTGCTCACCTTTGTCCAAAAATAGACCAAACAAGAATCAACCATAATTACAGCATGATGCACAGTACTGGTCTGAGTGTGGCCATGTACTTTATTAAGGCCTTGACTTAAGCCACCAAACCAAGTAACTTGAGTTACTCCAGAATGAGTAGCTCTGTTCTGCAGCCAATGCACCTGAAAATCTTGCAGCACTTGATGAGCCCTATATTCAACCTAGGTAGGTGCTGGCATCATTGCACAACTTCAAAGAGTGGTCAGGGGGTATACAACCTTTTTGGTCATTTCCTTGGGCAAAGTTTCATCTTAATGAGCACTTACTGCATGTTGAAAATGCTCAGACTTGGGGTGGTGATTCTCTATTAAAGTGGCTCACCACCCCGAAAATCATTTTCCAGTTAAGCTTACATGCCTTCTTAGCATGGTGTGTCTCACTAGAGTGGCTGTCTCCAGGAGGTCTACATGATGCATATTAGATCACCAGATTCACCAAAAGTCCCAAAAAGTTAAGCTGTTAGGAAATGGCCCAACAATGTGTATCAAGTTATACAACACACTCCCTCACATGCAATCCCATCTAGCATACAAGAAATACAAAGAGACATACATAGAGAGAAGCAGAATGCAAATGGTAACAAATGCAGATGGAGAAACTTGAACCTAAGACTGACCTCCCCTAACCTGAGGTATGCTAACATGTTAGGTCACCACTAGTCCCAAAACCTTAATTGTTAGAAAATGAGCCCAATTATATCAAGCTATCCAACAATGCATCAGTCTGATTGTGGTAACGTGGCGAATTTGAACTTTTCAGATCCCCATAAAAATAAAAACACTAAAATAAAAATCCGTAAGTATTTTGTTGTTTTTGTTTTGCTTGGTTACCTAAAACCTTGTCCCTCCTTTTGTTTTTGCAGAAAATCAGGTTTTAAAGGCTGAAGAGTTTCTTGAGACCATAATTAAAGGTAATAAAATGCTTTTGATTCATTTTTTTCTTTATTTTTTTCAATTAATCACTACGTTTTAAAGAATTGCATTTTACTTGAACTGGTCACCTAGATTTGTCCTTCTTGGTTTGATGCTACATTATTTGCTGGATTTTTGTGTGAATGTCTTGGATGTATTTTAAACGATCATGATGACCGAGTTTTATGCAACAAGGAATCCAACACTGGTGTAAGGGCTAAGGCCCAAAAAATAACAAAGAAAAAGGTGAACATGTATTTCAATGTCTTGCAAATGTGGTTTTTTGTCGAGACCTTAGTAGCAGGAATTGTGGAAGATGAAGACGCACCAAACGAAAAATCGTGATTATGCACTTCTGAAGAAGAATCGTATCAGAATCGCGCTTCTGATGCAAGAGAAACGCGAGTTTGTCCAAGAAGGAAGCGATCGCAATCGCGACCTCGATCTCGATCTCAATCTCTCTCTCTCTCTCTCTATATATATATCTTCTTCTTCTGTCTCTCTCTCTCTCTCTCTCGTTCTGGTTTTCTCTCTCTTCGTGGGTCTCTACATTTTTATCTATTTTTGAGACTGATAATGGATCATTTATTATATTTTTTTTAAAGATATGGAATTTTTGTGTTTTAAAGAATATTACTCTACTACTTTTATTGGTCTCTGTGTTTCACAACAAGGTTGTTAAAATCGGGATCCTACGTTGGATCGTTTGAGGTGTTTATAGGATCGGATCGTAGAATCGGATCGAGGATCGTAAGATCCTACTGAAAAAGACAGATTATTACATAATAATTTAATTTAAATAAATATTTCTTATAAAGTATACACAAAATGAGCTTATATTCTATTAAAAAGAAATAAAGATATTGTGAAAAATATAATACTCCATGTAAAATGTACATATAATATTATACAATAGAAAACTCGATGGTAAAAGTATTGTATTTCATCAAAAAAGAAGATGAAGAAGAAGAAGAATTCTACAACAAAATACTTTACAATCTACAATAATGCATAAAAAGTGAAGAAAAAATATTTAACAAAGTTGATATGAAAATAGATTAAGAACTCAAAAGAATAATTTAACCGAATGATAAGGTTTGTCGTTAGCATCCCTGGTGGAGCGGATTCAAGTCACAAAAATAATCTTTCGAAAAATTGAGATAATTTTGCAATCATCTTACCCTCCTTAGACTCCACTAAAGCTAAGTTTGTTTTTTCGATTATTTAATTTTTTTAAATTACCGCAATATTTGAATGTTTGTTTCCTAGTTTGTTTTTCTTAGTCTATTTGATTCAATACTACTTAATTTTTATTATTTTATTTTGACCACATAAGTTGGTATTTAGACAACAAACATAAAATTTACAATAAAATATGTCATACAATACAAAACAAGGCTTGTAAATTGGATCGGATAGGATCGGATTCGGATCGGGATTCCGCGATCCTATAAGATCCCACTACCAGGATCGAAAGATCCTACCTATAAGGACTTTTTTTAAACGATCCGGATTGATTGTACTCAAATGGATCGTAAGATCTGGATCGGGATTCTGATAACCATGTTTCACAAATTCAAGAATATCACTCCATTACTTTTATTGGTCTCTATGTTTTGAAGATTCAATAATATCACTTCGTTAATTTTTTGGTGTCTGTGATTTAAAATTTTAATGATAATGGCCTATTATTATTATTTCTTTTTTTATAGACAGCTCTTTTGATGATAGTATTAATGAGAATGAATTAAAAATGTTCTTATAATGTTCGAATTTATTATGTCATTTTGTTTTTAAATTTGGAATGAATTTTTATTTGCTAGTCATGTTTAAAAATATTTTTTATGTTGTATTTAATTAATTAAAAATTATATAAAAATAAAAAATTTAAAACTCATTTATAACATGTATATATGTCAATTAAAAATATATAAAAAAAAAGTTTATATAGACAAATTAAAAATATTTTCTATAAAAATAATATATAAGCTCTCCCAAATTACGACTCTTCCACGCTCCTGTTTCGTGCAACTAAGGTCGAGACAATCTCAAGTGACCTAAAATACTAGGGGGGTTTGGTACAGTTTAGTTGCTTCTTTTTATAGTAGTCCGTGCCAAATTGTTTGGTTCAACTTCTGTTTACAACTTATGTAAAAATAAATTGATAGAGAGAGAATAAATTGTATGTATTATTGATTGATTTATGTTATCTATTACAAATGGTGAGGAGTTCCTTATATAGGAGATGTAGTGGAGTAGGTGGAGTAGGTGGTAGTGGTAGGTGTGTAGTAGGTGGTAGTAGGTGGTGGTAGGTGGAGTTTTTTGTGTTGTTTTTTTTTTTTTTTTTTTTTTTTTTTTTTTTTTTTTTTTTTTTTTGTGTGTGTAAAATTGTGATCGGGGTTGATCCTTGAGATGAATAAAATATGGTTTGGTGTGCAAAGCTATATGGTATGAATGGAATAATACGGAGCAAAAATAATAATGAAAAAGAAAAAATAAGGTGAAAGAAAGAAATAATAATAATATATTTGAAAAATGAGAGAGTGAAGGGAAAAAGGATTATTTTTATTTTTATTTTTTTTTTTTTTTTTTTGGTATTGGAATAAAAATAAAATAAAATAATAAGAGAATGGAAAAATGATGATACTCACCAACTGAGTTGTAGAATATTGAAGTATTGATGAAAAAGAAAGATAGAAAAAATAAAAATAAAATAAAATAAAGGTTTGTGAAAAATCATTATATATATATATTGATGAATCAGCAGATATAGGGTGAGTGAAGGATAATAGTGTGGGTAATATATTATAATAATAAAAGATATATATGCTTTGTCCCCTGAATCGGTAGATATATGATGAGTGGAGTGCAAAAAATGAAGGAAGGGGTTGGAAAGTGGACAAAGTGGTGGATCCTTGAGTAGAGAGAGAGAAAAAGGGACCACAGAGAGAGAGAGATAGTGGGTTAATTAAAAAAAAGATTGTGGGGTTGAAAGTGGGTTCATTCATCAACTTCATGGCCTCAATGATGCAGAGAACCTGTCCCTTTTGTACTTTGTCTCCAACCTTAACAAGCGGTGGTTCACCAGGTGTTGGACTTCGGTAGAATAAACAAATTCAATATATAGATACCCAGACCGTAGGTAATGATATAGAACCCATAGAAATTCCCCTTGATGCTCCCTCTTTTTAGCTCTCAGACAAAAAAAACACCACGCAAACCACACTTCCTCTTCCACCCCCTTAATGGCGGAGCCGATCTGTCGAACCGAACCGGACAATAAGCGTCTAAAATACGCCTTCGACGCCGGCTTCTTATCCGGCGCACACCCCTCCGACACTCCCGACACCGACGACGATGGAGACTTCGTGACGACGACGGAGCTCCGACTCGGAGAGTTCCGATTCCGACACCGACAGCCGGTGTATTTCTGGGTGTGTTCATTTGCGTCAAATGCTCTACATAGAATCGCTCCATGCTCAACAAGAGAGATGGTTTCCGTGTAAAGAGAGAGAGCCGAAGTGGCTGTTGGTGTCATCAAGAGTGTTGAGAAGAAGGATCCATCTGGCGCCAAGGTCACCAAGGCTGAAGTCCACCGCGGACGAGGAGTGCCTCCGGTGCTGGTGGTGGTGGCCGATCCGGCTGATCAGGTGCTTGCACTTGTCCTTAATCTCCGGCGACCTGATCCGCATCGACGAGGCTCGTACCAGCCATGACCTCTCATCCGGCGGAGGAGAGCCGTTGGCACGGAAGCAGCAGGAGAGGCATAGGGTTTGCCTGAGCGTGTTTTTCAAGGAAGGAGAGGTAATCTGTTCGTCCTCCATGTGATAGAAAGAGAGAGGGGATGAGAGGTCCGGCGGGCGGCCAAGGCGAGGCTGCCGCCCGCCGGTGAAGCGAAAATACTAGGTTCTCAACCTTGCTCTGATACCATGTAAAAATAAATTGATAGAGAGAGAATAAATTGTATGTATTATTGATTGATTTATGTTATCTATTATAAATAGTGAGGGGTTCCTTATATAGGAGATGTAGTGGAGTAGGTGGAGTAGGTGGTAGTGGTAGGTGTGTAGTAGGTGGTAGTAGGTGGTGGTAGGTGTAGTAGGTGGAGTAGGTGATGGTAGATTTTAACAAAAACAAAATAAGACTCTTATTGGTAATTTTTCCTCTCATCTACACATGAGACTGTAGATACAAATATAAGACATATCAATTGGTGACCGGTGAAGCGAAAATACTAGGTTCTCAACCTGGCTCTGATACCATGTAAAAATAAATTGATAGAGAGAGAATAAATTGTATGTATTATTGATTGATTTATGTTATCTATTACAAATGGTGAGGGGTTCCTTATATAGGAGATGTAGTGGAGTAGGTGGAGTAGGTGGTAGTGGTAGGTGTGTAGTAGGTGGTGGTAGGTGGAGTAGGTGGAGTAGGTGATGGTAGATTTTAACAACTTATTAGACATAAATAGCTTAAATAAATTTAAAAAGTTTATCATGATTTTGGCTTTCGCATTTTGATTATCAGTTTTAGCTTGTAATAAGTTTAATGGGCCCACTGTATGGTATGATTGTGTTTTATATGTTTGACTCAGCAAAAGAATAGGAAAAATAGCTCTCTGGATAATTGATCCGGGCTTTAATTTTGAATTTAAAATGGTTAGAAAGTAATGGATACCTGCTATTTTAGCCTATGAAAGACTAGAAGCATGTGATTTGGGCCCTAAAGGTCTAGATGACCTAAAAAGTAGAGTGCATGAGAATTTGTTTTAAACATGAGGCGTGGTTTGGAATTTGGATGCTACAAGACCATTGTCTGTCTTAATGTTTTTGAATCGCATATTTCCCTCCCAGGTCAAGGGTTATATACATATGCTTTTTAATTAAGGAATAAAAATGTTTATTAAATAGTTATAACCCAAAGAGGGGTCTGGGGTTGCGTGTGGCCTTAGTTTTCCTGAATAAGTTTTAAAATGTTACTATAGTTAAATCTGAAACCTTGACATATTATTGTTTGTGGCACACCGTACACGAACACCAATGCATAGATATAGAACCCATATCTTATTTTTACTAATAAGAAGATAATAACATGTGGGGTGTTTTTGAAAGTTCAATTAACTTTGAATGCCCCATTTGTTAGAAATGTGGAACACCTAACTAGGATCGGTGATAGACGAAAACAAAGACGAAAAATAAACAGGAATTGTATATCAAATGCATACACAATAACACAAGATTTACATGGTTCACCCTAATTAGGTTATGTCCCCGGTCAATGTGGTTTCGCTATCAAGAATTACAACTAAGATTCAGAGATACGTGCAGCCCCTCTAACTACATATACTTAATTTAGGGCTACCACAGCCTACAGGTCGCAAATGCAAAAATACCATAATACCTTTGTTCCAGAATTCGAGATCCGTGATTGAGTGGTTAATTAGTGTTCATTACTTATGAACTAAGAAGCATGGACACGGACATGCGACACGACACGGACACGCAGGCACACTAATTTTCGAAAAATGCATGACATGACATATGGGGGACATGCATGAAATATATAATTTTGTATGTTTATTATATGTTATACATAAATATAAATATGAATATATCATTCAAAGATAATAAAAAATGTAATATGACACTGATTCTTATAAATTTATATGGTTTTTATTTTATTATTATATCTTAAGTTGTTTTATTCAAACTTATAAGTAGTTTTACTTGTGTCTAATCGTATGCTTAAGCAATAGACATGTGTGTCCTCTAAGTGTCCAGAGAGTGTCTAGGTCCTTAAAAAAAAGTAAAAAATAGGACACGTTTTGAAAAGTGTTGGACATGTGTCGGGAAAGTATCCAAAGAGTGTCCGTGTCTGACATAGACCCGATATGGATACTTACATTCTTAGAAGTGTCTGTGCTTCTTAGCTTATGAGGATTCACACTACCCAATACCATTAACACAAGATTAGCATGTAAGAATCTCATCTGGAATAAGAATATCCTTTGGAATGGAGCGATAGGAGATTACGAAAAGCATCTAAAAATGACGATAGAGGCTTTGAGCTTGTCATTTCAAAGGAAACCTAAACTGTTAACATGCCATCAAACAAGATGAAGTCCCTTATTCTTGAATCCGCAATTTAAGCGGTAAATTTTCACCTCGTACACCATAAAAGGTGCAATTATAGACGCCAAGGTGATAAAGTGATCCCCATCCTCTGTTCCATTAACATTGAGGCCGAGCATCTTCTTAAAGCTATATGGACAATTAGATCATGAAAATAAGAATAATTAGCAGGATAATTTATTGATGACTTTTTAAAAGGAAGCTTTTGGTTGGTTGCACTTGTGGATGCTGTCTGACCTTATTGTCTTGCTTGCACAGTTATTGTTTTATTTTTTTATTTTTATTTTTATTTTATATATATATATATTTTTTATGGTAGTTTGTTGGGCAACACTTCCCAACCTCATTAATAGACTTGTTCTACTGGCTGCAGCTCCTGAAGGTGAGTGGAATAAGCTGTTGATCAACGGTATGACTGTTGGTAAAGGTGAAATCTCACCGGATGAATTTTATGCTGTTATTAGGAAACGAATGGAACGAACTTTGATCCGAACGGTAGGGTGCACTCTTGGATCTCAGCCCCATTTGAGTTCCAAAGACTTACATTTCTCTAACATTTCTCCATATCTCTCTCTCTCTCAGGAGGGAGGTTCTTATGAGCAACGCGTTCTTACTGAATATCTGAAGGGCATTCAATCAAGAGCGGAGGAGATTGTCCAAGTACTTCAGGGAAATCCACAGTAGTTGTTTTTTTGAAGCTTTTATGTTCAGATCGAAGCTGGAAGAAACGTCAGTAGATGTTAGTGCACATAAAATGAAAAGCAGTTCCTCGGTAAATTTGAAAATGAAGAGTGGAGCGATGTAGAGAAAAAGGAAGATCGGTTTTGGATACGATGAACACCATTACACAAACCGAACCATACAAGGCTGTCAGTGAACCTCGTAAAAGCGCCTGGATAAGATATTTTGAGTCGGTTTTTTGTTGTTGTTGTTGTTGTTGTTGTGAGTTAATAATATTAGATTGACTGTATTGTTGAGATTGACTATATTACCCTTGGATGCTGCCGCAAAACAGGAACCTTGTGAATTGGATACAATTTGTTAATACTATTATGGTATGTTCAAAGCGAAATTCTATGATACAACACTTTCGGTTGATACAGCACTTTTGGTTCATTACACCCTTCATTTTTATAGGGTGATTTTGTTTACAGACTACTAATCCTCTCAGTATATACCATTACTTGGTACACATACAAAATAATTTTTAGTGTTTAAAAATATCATAGTTTACACCTTAACTTTGCATTACTAGCTTTATGGTAACAGACTACTTGTCTATGAATACACACCACGACACACACAAAAAACTCTCCATCTTCATAACAGATACCTCCATCTTCAGAAATTTCTATATTCGCCGGTGTTGATCTTTGTCGTTGGTGTTAAACTCTCTTGGTTTCAAATTGCTGTTGTCTCATCGTTTCATATCGTCGTCGTCTCGCCGGTGCCTTCTTGTTCTCTATCTTCATTGTCATCTCACCGTTGTTTTGTTGGTGCATTGTAGGCGTTAAACCAAAAAAATAAAAATAAAAATAGTTTTGTTCATGAATATAAAGTTGAACAAACTTAATGTGTTAAAAACTTTATATCTAAACAAAGAATAAAAGTTCAATTTATTTTAACCGAACTAACTTTAAATGTTCTATTTTTTATATATGAAAATTTAATATTTGATGATTAATCTTAATAATTTAAACAAAATTATTTTGTTCAAATATAAATATTCGAATATTGTGTGAAAGTTCAACTCTGGTTATTCGAACATATGACGAACAAACTCATCTTCCCAACATACGAATGAGATAAACAAAAAAATAAAATAAAAAAGCTAAGTAATAAACTAACATTTTCAATGTTTAAATCAACATTTCAATGTTTATATTGGAACCAACCATCTCAATGTCATTCATGGTGTGTAAATTTTGAAAACTAATTGATTTCAATGTTCTTAAATCCTAAATCTTCAAAGGCAATAATGTTTTGAGTTTGAGAAATAAGTATAATAGAGAAGAGAATGAAGTGAGCTAATTAATAATGAATGATATCATGAGTGTAGTGTGTTAACGGTGAAGATGATGAAGAAATACGGTGTTTATATGTTTAAACCCTAAACCCTATAGGTGATGGTGGTGTGTGAAGAGTATTTTGTATTTTTAAATATGAAATCTTTGAATTGGTAGAATACACCCCCATGATATCCTTAATGATCTTTTTATTTGAGGATATTATTAGAATATAAATTTAATCTGTTAATGGTATGTACTGAGAGAATTAGTGGTGTGTAAATAGAAATACCAATTTTTATATTTTTTTTTATTACATTTTTATCCTTTGTAAAATTAATATTAAGGACTAAAAGCTCCAAACCTTGCCCCTGACATTTCTCTTTACACCCTTTCATCTTTATTTCTATCATCCACCAACCAGCAGCAGCAGCCTTCTCCTCTACCAACCACCACTAATTAGCTACCATCAATTCTCTCCACCAACCACCGCCACCCTTGCTCCCATCTTTCACTCTCTCCATCCACCTACAAATCCAAATACATCTACCTTATATATGTATATATAAACAATAACAACCAACAACCAACAAACAAAAAGAGTAAATTTATATTTAAAATGTATGTATAATCATTACAAATAAATAATACACATATATAGTTGCATTTAAAAGATGTTTAGGTATGATTTTCAATCATTGTTAGTATTGCGTAATTTGAAAAAAGTGGGTTTGAAACTCCTTTTGGCTCTGGCTCACCAAACAAATTAAGTTTTTTCAATCTTCGGTAGCCAAACAATTTAAGTTTGTTCTGACTTCTAGCCGAACATGGTTGATTAATCAATTTTGGCCTGTTTGGTGGGACACAGTTGAGCAAACATGATTTGTTCATTTGTTTCCAACCGAATAAACCATATTTGTTCGGTTGTGTTTTGTCGAACAAAACATGAATGCTGAAAAGAGGCTACGAAAGTCGTGGTCACGAAAGAGGCTATGAAGTGATGATTGCAGCGGTGAGGTGTTGCGAGGTAATGGCCAGGTGGTTGGATTGTGGGGTGGTGCTCGGAGAAGGTGGCGACAATAGTTGTAATAGTTGAAGATGGAGGAGTTAGAGTTTGAGAGATTTTTGGTGTAAAGAGAAGAGAGGAGGTAGGAGGTTAGGACTGAGGGTATAAGTGGCATAAAGAAGTGTGTAAAAAGCTATAATAAGAGTGCTACTATTAGCACTCTATCAATTATTTTGGACCTCTTATTTTTTAGTTTATTTTTTATTACAATAATAACCTCAAATAAAATTAATAAAAAGGATATCAATAATTTTGGGACACTCTTCTCACAATTAAGCACACACACACACTACATCATGAATTAGGGTTTGTGAGAGCACCTACCTCCATCACCATCCATCTATCTTCCCCCAAATCACACCTTCAAAATCTACCCACCCTCCAAACCTTAAAAACTCTTTAGCGATAACATTCCAGTGGTAACAACCATTTGATTATTTACAATTATCCAGCAATGACAATGAATGAAAATTTTTCCGGCAACCACAACTTCATGAAGTGAGAAGAGTATAACAATAAAAGCTCAGAGGAGGTTCATAAGTTTGATGGTGTTCTTAGCTCAGATGAGATTAGCTTTGTAAGGATAAGTTCTTGAAAAAAATAGCAAATATAATAAAAATTGTTCATCATTTTCGCGAGACTGAACTCCCTAACATATGACTGAAATTCGGGAACACAGGCTCAAATTTTGTTTATTTGTTCACTGTAAGGTCATGAATAAATATGTGGAGATGAAATAGTAATCATCTTCGTGGGTTTTGTTAGGGTTTTTGGGAGAGAGATTTTTTGGGGTGTGGGAGTATGTATTCAATTGAATGGGTAGAATATTTTCACAAGGATAATTTTGGTATTATTTGGGGAGAGAAATTTTTTTTTAAGGGTTTTAAAATTTATAATTGGGGGTCTAAAGATATGAATGGTATAAAATAATTGATGAGGTGCTAATAGTAGCACTTTAAAATAATATTGTTGAAATTTTGAGGGAGGGGTAATTAAAAATGGTGTAATAAGATGGAATTGTTGTGTAAATAGAATTATGTGTTTTCAAAATAGTCGAAATTACTTTTTATTCCTTTAATTCATATAACAGATTATTGGTAACCAATGTGGAAATGCCTTTTGACTATCATATACTAGCCTATCACCCGTGCTATGTACGGGATAATTATATATATTTATATTTGTTTTAATTTTTTTTAATATATAAATTATGTTTTTTAAGATTTTTTATAAAAATAATTTAGCAATCTTATCATTAACCATAGTGTACAGGAGAAATTAAAAAAGCTACTGCAGTAACTATGCAACAGTTGTATCTATAATTATTTGTATGAGAGGATTTTAAATGCTAATCAGAAATTTTGACCAAATCAATAAATACAGGCATGTGGATTGAAAAAAGTTAATAAATACTGATCATGAGATTTTGACCAAATCAATAAATGCTGAGATTTTTTTTTTTTAAAATCAAAAATTTAGAAAATTAAGATTGAAAGATTGGAACTCCCACAAGGCTTGGGGTTTAGAAACCTCATTTTTCTTAATATATTTACAATTATCTATATATGTGAATTACGATTTTTAAATGTCTTTTTTTTCCCTTTTTTATATTATATTAAAGTTTAATATTTTGATAATAATCATATGTGTTTGATTTTTCAAGAAATTAAATGTCTTCTTTCTTTTATTATATTATATTAAAGTTTAATATTTTGATAATAATCATATGTGTTTGACTTTTCAAGAATTTTTTTTTATGCTTGTTTTTAATGCGTTAAAGTATTATTATGAGGGATAATAATCATATCTGTTGTGACTTTTCAAGGAATTCATATGTGTTGGATTTCAAATAATTTTTTTTTAATGCTTGTTCTTAATGCATTAAAGTGTTATTATGAGGGTAAGACTTGGGGGTTGGAAGAAGTTAATAAATGCTAAGGTTTTTTTTTTTATAAATCAAAAAATCAGGAAATTTAGATTGGGAGATTGAAGCTTGCACAAGACTTGGGGTTAAAAACCCCATTTTACTTAATATATAGTATAGATATAGATAGATAGATATATCTTTTTGTTTTTATTTTTATTTTTGTGTGGTTTTTATTCTGGTATTTTTTTTTCAATTTATTTAAGATGGAATTGTAGGTATCTTTTTTTTTTAAAAAATTTAATTTATCTGTGGTTTCTATTTGTTTTTAATTATTATTATTTAGGTAGGTTATGATGTGAGTTAGATATGTGATAGACATGTGAGTTTTATTGATTTAAAGTTTATTTAGATAAACTTTAAAGATTTTTTTTTTAGTATTTTAGTTTTTTTTGTTATGTTATAATATAATATATAAAATATAGGTAGATATCTACAACTTTAATAAAAAATATTATCTGATTTTTTGGGGAAGAGAAAATGAATGCAAGTTTTAATATTTTTTTAAAAAAATTTGTGAGAGAGATTAGGAGTGAGAGATTATGAAATATTTTTGTTATTAAATAAATAAATCAGTCAATAGCTTTTTTAATCTATTTTGTAAATTAAAAATCAATAATTTTGAAAAATTGATTAATTTATCCTATTAAGTGATTTAAAATTTTGATAGATATACATAAAAAAATACATAATTATATTATTAAATCATAATTCAAATTTAGATGTTATATCTTTTTGAGATCTATAGCTAAATTATTATATATATATTTTTTGTAACCATAGTATATGAGAGAAATTAAAAAGGGTATTGTAATAATTATGAGAAAAGTCAAAAGGAATTGTGGGTTGGGAGAAGTTAATAAATGCTGAAGTTGGGTTGGGAGAAGTCAATAAATGCTAAATTTTTTTTTTTGAATCAAAAAATTAAAAAATTAAGATTAAGAGATTGGAACTCCCATAGATCTTGGAGTTAAAAACTCCTTTTTACTTATTATATAGTATAGATTGGTTAGGTTAAGAAGTGCTCTGATATTTGCCTTCGACATACAGAAGATGCATTGCATTGGCTTCATCAGTGTTAATAAATGAATGGTCCACGCATCAATGTC